ATAGATAAAGAAGTTTTGACAAAATCTAAAACCTGCTCCTGAGCAAGAAAATGGGGAAACTTCCTCAGCATATTGAAGGGCAACAAGTAGAATCCTACCACTATCATTATACTTGTTGGTAAAATTTCATAGTCAACCTGTATGATCAGGAACAAGACAAGGATGTCTACTCTTACCCAATTCTATTTAACATTGTACTAGAAGTTCTAGCCAGTAAGGTGTACTATGGAAAAAAAAAAAAAAAAGAACCCATCACAGAAAATAATAAGTGAAGCTTTCTGTCTTTGGTGATAATACTGTTATCCATGTAGAAAACTGACAAAATATACAAAGGAATTTCTAAAATTGAATTTAAAAGAGTTGTTAGAAACAAAATTGATTTAAAAATATAAATTGAATTTTTATATCCATTAGTTAACACTTAAATTTTAAAAATTAATTGCAATTTACATTAGCATAGAAAATATAAAATATGTAATTTAATGGTAAATCTGAAGATGCAAAAGACCTATTCCCTGAAAGTTATAAGACATTTAAGAGTGAAATAATATATAAGTAAAGGATATACTGGGTAGTATATTTTTTTAAGGTTTTATTTATTTGAGAGGTAAAGTTGCAGAGGGAAAGAGAGAGAAGGGTCTTCCATCCCTGGTTCACTCCCCAAATGGCCACAATGGCCGGAGCTAGGCTGAAGCCAGAAGCCAGGAGCTTCTGCCAGATCTCTCATGTGGGTGCAGGCTCCCAAGCACTTGGGCCATCTTCCACTGCTTTCCCAGGCCATAAGGAGAGAGCTAGATTGGAGGAGGAGCAGCAGCCAGGACAAGAACCCAGCGCCCATATGGAATGCTGGTACCATAGGGGGAGGCTTAGCATACTGTGCCACAGCGCTGGCCCCGCTGTGTAGTATATCTTTAAAACCAGTGAGAGTCCTGTTGTAGAACTTGCAGAGCTGATTGTACAATTTGTAAGAAAATCAAAGGATTCAAAATAGCCTAACCAGTTTTGAAAAATGAAGCATGATTGGAGAACTACAGTAATTTTAAGACATTTATAAAGCTACAGTAATTAAAACAATGTTTATTAAAACATTCGTTTGTCTTTGATGGAACAGAATAGAGTCAGAAATAGACTTACACATATATAGGTAGTTGATTCTCAATGGAAATGAAACATCATTCATTGGGGAAAGGAACTTGTAAAAATGTTGATGAGGCCAGCGCTGTGGCTCACTAGGCTAATCCTCCACCTGCAGCGCTGGCACCCTGGGTTCTACTCCTGGTCAGGGCGCCGGATTCTGTCCCGGTTGCCCCTCTTCCAGGCCAGCTCTCTGCTCTGGCCTGGGAGTGCAGTGGAGGATGGCCCAAGTCCTTGGGCCCTGCACCCGCATGGGAGACCAGGAGAAGCACCTGACTCCGGGCTTCGGATCAGCGTGGTGCACCGGCTGCAGCGGCCATTGGAGGGTGAACCAATGGAAAAGGAAAACCTTTCTCTCTCTTTCTCTCACTATCCACTCTGCCTGTCCAAAAAAAAAAAAAAAAAAAAAAAAGTTGATGGAACAATTGGCTATCAGTATGCAAAGGAAAGAATTTATACCTTTCATCATATATAAAAATTAACTCAAAATACATGAAGACCTAAATGTAAAACCTATAATATACAACTTCTTGAAGAAAAATATAAAACCCTTTTGATCTTGGATTGAATGAATCTTTCCTAGGTTCTTTGTTATGACATCCAAATTTAAATCTATAAAATAATAAATTGTTAGGGCCGGTGCTGTGGTGTAGTGGGTAAAGCCACTACCTGCAGTACCAGAATCCCATATGGGCACCGGTTTGAGTCCCTGCTCCTCTACTTCCGATCTAGCTCTCTGATATGGCCTGGGAAAGCAGTACAAGATGGTCCAAGTGCTTGAGCCCCTGCACCCACATGGGAGACCAGGAAGAAGCTCCTGGCTCCTTGGCTTCAGGTTGGCATAGCTCTGGCCATTGCGGCTAATTGAGGAGTGAACCAACAGTTAGAAGACCTTTCTCTCTGTTTCTCCTTCTCTCTCTCTTTGTAACTCTTTCAAATAAATAAATCTTTTAAAAACTAATAAATTGTTTATACTTAAATTAGACTTCATCAAAATGTAAAAAGTCTTCTTCACATAAATAATTAAAAGTTAATTGGGAGAAAATTTTTACAAAGCAGAAATTTAATAACTGCCAATTTGAAAAATAGGTAAAAGATGAGGACATTTCATGAATATATAAGCAAAAAAGCACATGAAAAGATGTTCAGTAGAGATACCACTATATCCCTGCTTAATGACTGAAATTTAAGCTCTGTTCCAAGTGTTGACAAAGATGTGAAAGGAACTGATCTCTCATTCACTGCTGGTGGGAATATAACACAGTACATTTACTTTGGAAAATAGTTTGGTGGTTGATTAACACACTAAACAAACTATGATATTATATCCACTCCTCTCCTAGGTATTTGCCCAACAGAAATGACAGTATCCATACAAAAATTTATACACAAATGCTCATGACAACTTTACTTGTAATAGCCAAGGACTAGAAACAACTTAAATGTCCATCCAAGGTAAATAAGCTGGTATATACATACAGTAGAATACTAATTGGCAATAAACAGAAATGGATTATTCAGTACAACACTGGTGAATGTAAAAATAATTATGCCAGTGAAAGAAACCAAGCAAAAGAAGTATAGAATGATTCCATTTATATAAAATTCAGTAAATTACAAAGTAATTTCTAAAACTAGACAACAGATCAATGGTCAGCAGGGATTGGAGGTTTGGGGAGCTGGAGGAGGGACTTTCTTTGAAAGATGATGGATATATTCCTTATTTGTATTGATGAAACACATTAAACTGATCAAACTGTATGCACTAAATATGTGCAGCTTGTTATATATATATCAGTCATAATAAAACTATTAACTAAAATCAGGACTTAGTGTTTTAATTTGGAATAAAATAAAAGGTATAGTCAGGTATGACACTGTGTTGGGAGATGAGACAGACTGGTATGTGGAATTATAAGCAGCTGATTTTGTGAGACGTTTGATGAATTCAGTACTGGTTTTGTTGAGCATGGGTAGTTCAGGTAGTAAAATAAGTTTCATACAAAAACTTGTACACAAATGTTCATAGCAGCTTTGTGATAGCCAAGAACTAGAAATGACTTTAATGTCCATCAATAGATAAACTGGCTTATGGAAGAGATCTTGCCTAGAATTACAGATTTACAAATTAGTAGTTTACAAGAGATAGTTTAAAACATGAGAAAAGATGAGAACAGTGGTAAATTTGAATAGTTTGAGGGGGGAAAATGGATTGAAAGTGGAGCCCTGGGGAATAATTTTTTTGGGATATTTAAGGATAATAAGTGCATGAAGAAGACAAAAACAATGGTCATAAATGTGTATGTAGAGGAGTAATGGTGAGACCAGAACATTGGACCACAGAAGCTAACTGAGTAGAGTAACAGGTCTCGGAAAATAAGCACTGAGTGATAGATATATAAGGGAAGAGTTCATAGCACATTATCTTTTAATTCCATATTTCTGCAAACTTAACGAAAAACTCTATATGTGACAATTGGAGAGTAAATTGATGAACTTACCAGAATTATAGTAAAGTAGTAAGGGAAAAAGCTGCAGTAACTTGAAAAATGAGTGGGAGATGAGGAAGTGGAGACAGGGAAGTGTGAATTAGAAGAGAAACAGACAGGACAGTCTAGAGAGGATTTTTTAAGATTAGGAAAGTAAACATTTAAAAGCATCTTAACCAGTATAATATATAAGGTCTTTGTGGAATATGAACTGAAGATTTCTATCATACTGGGATATGGATGTCTCGAAGGTGTTTTGAGCATATTTTTACCTAAGTTGAATGTGGAATGATGTGGAATGATACAGGGAAAGGAATGAGCAATAGGAAGAAGAGCCATGCAATAGCTGAAGTGCCAAGGTGACAGAACAGGTATCAGAAAGATTCCCAGGTATTTTGATTGGATGATTTGAACTCTTTCAACTTGAGATTTTTAAATTTAGGACAGATATGGACTTTTTTTCTCATAAAATTGTTTTAGTCACTACTAATTTTCAAAAAAACTGAAAACATGACTCTTGGGCAGTTAGAAAATTTAGCCAGACAAAAATTTTATTCAACTCAGTAATTAGTGAGTAATTAATGTTTATGTATGTTCAAAGGAGAATTTGTCAAGGGAATGTAGAAATGAATTTGTTAAATTAAAACAATCTTACTAATAGAAAAAAACTTTAATGTTTATGAAGCAATATATAGTAGGCTTTACAATTGTGTTTTGTATTGAACAAAAATCATTTGCATTATCTACTTGCCCTCAGAATCATTGTCATTGTCCATTTTCTCCTAGTCTATATCTATTTTTACAGAATTATAAAATGTCTTAATAGTATGTGGAAAGAGATACCACATACTTCTTACGGGGATTTAGTGAAAAGACACTCTGTGATTAACTCCTTTTTAGGAAATTTTTCTTGACATCAGTATTGCAAGATGAAGTTGCCAGTATAATGAAGGAACAACTAAAGGAAATATAAAGTTTCTCCTTTATGTTTAGTACATGATCTTCATGCATCATTTAGCAACCAACCCTATATTATGTTAGGATTTTCTCCTATTGTTGCCTTGATTCACCTGTTACTTAACATTTTGCACATTTATCTTTCCTTCTCAATTTGATTGCACGTTTCTATGAAGAGATGGCCTTTGGCTATTTTGTTTTTTTCTGTTGTATCTAGCACGATACCTTGCACACAGTAGGAATTCAGTAAATATTAGCTTACTTAATACGATATATTCTTGGAACCAAGCTATATATTTACAACATTGATTATCTTCTTGGATCAGGCCATAATCAGATATCATATTAGTGAATCTTATTTCAAATTTGGTGTGATACCTGTGCATCAGTTAGTAATAATACTTTTTTTTTTCCTATTAGTGGTGATTTACTCAGAATAGAAGGAAAAATCTTGCATTCAATTTTAGATGAAGTTGTCTTCAAGCTGTTATCAACTCCTAGTCCAATCATAAGAAGTACTGCTACAAAACTCCTGCTGTTAATGGTTGAATCCCATCAGGAAATTTTGATTTTACTGAGACTAAGTGCCTGCTACAAAGGTAGTGCATACATTCATTTTTTTCTTGGGATTCTCAAAAATAAAATTTATATTAATGGCTTATGAATAACAAAATGTTAATAGCAATTCAGAAAATGTTTAATCAAGTTAACTTTATGACTCAGAAGATGGCATGTGGTCCTTTGCTGATGGAGTTACAATAAATATTTACTCCCTCTCTGACAAAAAGTTCTGTGTTGAATATACCATATAAAAAGATCCATGACCTTATCAAAATTAGCTTTAGTGGAGAAAATAGAACTGTACCTAAGAGGTTGATAGCTCCTTTGATCTTTATATCAGTTAATATATTATTCTTCAACTTCTGCACTGCCTTTCCTCAACAACAAAAAGCAGTAAAAAATTCTGTTTTGCCTCCAAAATCAAAACCTGTGAATTGAGAAGTTAGACATTTTATTTACTTAAATTTGAAAGAGCTTCTATCCACTGGTTCACTCCAGGTGCCCATAACCCCCCAAGACTGGGCCAGACCAAGGCTGGGAGATGGGTCTTACTTGTGTGAGTCCACATTGGTAGAAAGCTGGAATTGGGTGCAGAGTTGGCATGCCAATACAGGATATGGGCATTTTAACCAGTTTCTTAGACAACTAGTCCAAATGCCAGACCCCCAAAGGCAGAAATTTTGATGATAAAAGCACTCAGTGGATTTCTATTCTCACGTAATAGCTTTTGTTTAATTATTACGTATCAGACAGTGTTCTGTTGTGTATCTTACATGTATTAAAATATTTCATCTTAGGGGCTGGCACTGTGGCACAGCATATTAAGCTGCAGTTTGTGGTGCCAGCATCCCATATGAGTGCTGGTTGGAGTTCTGCCTGCTCCACTTTTGATCCAGGTCACTGCTAAAATGCCTGGGAAAGCAGCAGAAAATAGCACAAGTCCATTGAAGACTCAGATGGAAATCCAGGCTCCTGACTTCGGCCTGGCCCAGTCCTGGCCATTCTGGCCATTTGGGGAGTAACCAGCAGATTGAAGATCACTCTGATCACCTTTCAAATAAATATATTTCATAAAAATTAATCTTTATAACAACCCTATTTATAGATAATCATTACCTTGTTTTATAAATATGGGAAAATTAGGTAATTTATCCAAGATTATACATTGTGGTCTTTTTTAATAAAGAAATATTTATTTTTATTTTATTTAAAAGGAAGAGAGAGACAAACATAAATCTATCCGCTAATTTATTCTCAAAATGCCTGCAATAGCCCGTGTTGGGCCTGGCTGAGGCTAGGAGCCTGGAACTGATTCTAGGTCTCCCATGTGTGTGGTAGGAACCCTGCTACTAAGCCACCACCTGTTGCTTCCAGGGTATATATTAGCCAGGAAATAGAACTGGGAGCAGAACTGAGACTGGAACTTGGAGCAGAACTCCGACATGAGATAATGTGCATCTTGTAAGAAGTGAGGGAGAGTAATCGCTGGAAGTAGAAATCTCTAATTGATATTGTGTCAGATAGACTTTTTTCAAAGCTACAGTCAGATTCCTACAGAAGTATGAATGTCACACAAAGTTCATTAAAAGTAATTTTACCTTAATACTTTTTTCTTGACTCAATAACAGAACTTACTCAAGTTCCTAAAGATACTTAATAGTTATTAATATTGCTTACTGCTGAAAACTTAGTCTTGAGGAGACTATAGGTCTTCAAGAAGTTCATGGAAAATGTATATTATGAAAAAAAACTATGCATGGATTTCTAAAAAGTTTTATACCAAAATAAACATCTTTTAGTCCCATTTTCTCTTAAACTTTGGAAATGCCCTTGTATAAGGTGTGGAAAAATCCATGTAGTGTCTTTCCTACTTGTACACTGCTATTTTTACTTTATTTATATTAACCATGTACATTATAGTATGTCATACCAATATGCCCTGAGTGTAGTACTGTGTGTCTTTTACCATGTGTTATTTTGGGATGAAAATTCAGTATCCTTGTGTTATACAATTTCTATAATATTTGCTAAAGAACTAATTGATTTGCCTCAAATTATATGTTACTGTATATTTTATGTAATAATAACTTGAATAATTACAACATGCTTAAATGCTGCCATTGGTAGGTATTTATTGGGTATGCATTCATAATAACTTTTCTTTTTTAAATGTTCCAGTATAATGTGTTTGTGTTCAAAGAGAAAAAAGTTTATCTCTGAATTACCATTACTAATACTGATAGTTACATCTTTGTTTATTATATTTCAGGACTCAGAAATCTGCTAAACAAACAGGAAACTGGGACAGAATTTAGTCAACAACTTAGTCAGCTCGTTGACCTTTTAAGCCCTAAGACCTATAAAGAAGTGGAAGAACAGGTATTAAGTTGCAAAAATAATTTGTGTGATATTTGTTAAGTGTATTAAACTTCAGTATTCCTTAAGTATCCTGCAGTTTCTATTTATATGTTAAGCAAAATGCTTCCCCCAAAATAGAAATATCTTTCAAATTTTCTCTAACCATTTAGCCTACCATTAAGCATAATTTTCTATCTGTTTGTAGATATCATCATCTCATTTTTTTTCAGAATTTTTCATGAAATCCCCAACTCTAACATTTACTTTCTTTTATCTCTAAGCTATTCAAATATTTTTCATTGTTTTTTTCCAAAAAATGTCTAAAATTGTAGCAAACTGCATATATGGTCACCTATAATCTACTTATTCTTTAAGATATAACAATAATGGTTTTTACCTCCATACAAGGAATTTTATGACTAAACCTTACTTATTAGTTTCAGGAAGTTGTTATTTTATCATTCTTTCTCTTGTATACTTAAAATGATGTCTCCAGATAGCACATTCCATAGGTAGAAGCAGATAGCTTTCTGATTCCCAGATAAAAACTTAAATACAGAAAACAGACTTAAATGTAAAATAGCTAAGAATGTTTTTAATTTAAAAAGAAATGGGGACATATCCAAAATTCCAAACCAAAATAATCATAAATTTGAAAATAGTAGCAAGAATCATGAAAATAAGTCTAGTTAGGAGGAAGAAGGAGAGAATCTGGAAAAAAGAGCACACAGATGGGGAATTCCCTCTTCCTGTTTATGAACCTTCACAAGTCTAGGACTAATCTCAAAGCTATGCATATGCTGGACAGACACAAGACAGCATACCAAAAGCTCACAGAATTAAACAGGTTGGAACAACCACTCACAAAAGGTCAACAGAGCTTATAGTCCGAACCTAATCAGGTTAATTGTAATTAAATAGAAACATTAACTTGTTAGCTCAAAATAGATTATGAATGGTTGGGCAGAACTATGAAATCTTTGCAATCTAGAAATGTGGTTAGTCAGGGAGAAATTTGGAATTAACTAGACCATGTTCAGACATTGCCTGAATCTAACATACCACCTTAGGGAAGTGTAGTTTAGTATTCTTAGAACTCTGTGCAGGGTCTATTAAGTTAATGTTGCCTCCTACCCATCTTGTTAAGAGACGGAGAGTAATACTTGACCTGGCCTGGTATTTTCAGAAGTCCGCTTTTTTTTTTTTTTTAACCTTTATTTAACAAATATAAATTTCCAAAGTACAGCTTATGGATTACAGTGGCTTTTTCCCCCTTATAACTTCCCTCTCACCCGCAACCCTCCCCTCTCCCACTCTCTCTCCCCCTTCCATTCACATCAAGATTCATTTTCAATTATCTTTATATACAGAAGAGCAGTTTAGCATATATTAAGTAAAGATTTTAACAGACTGCACCACACAGACACACAAAGTGTAAAGTACTGTTTAAGTACTAGTTATAGCATTAATTCACATTGTACAACACATTAAGGACAGAGATCCTACATGAGGAGTAAGTACACAGTGACTCCTGTTGTTGACTTAACAAATTGACACTCTTGTGTATGGCGTCAGTAATCACCCTAGACTCTTGTCATGAGTTGCCAAGGCTATGGAAGCCTTTTGAGTTCACCAACTCTGATCTTATTTAGAGAAGGTCATAGTCAAAGTGGAAGTTCTCTCCTCCCTTCAGAGAAAGGTACCTCCTTCTTTGATGGCCCGTTCTTTCCACTGGGATCTCACTCGCAGAGATCTTTCATTTAGGGTTTTGTTTTTTTGTTTTGTTTTGTTTTTGCCAGAGTGTCTTGGCTTTCCATGCCTGCAATACTCTCAAGGGCTGATTCTGAGGCCAGAGTGCTGTCTAGGACATCCGCCATTCTATGAGTCTGCTATGTATCCCACTTCCCATGTTGGATCGTTCTCTCGTTTTTAATTCTATCAGCTAGTATTAGCAGACACTAGTCTTGTTTATGTGATCCCTTTGGCTCTTATTCCTATCATTATGATCAATTGTGAACTGAAACTGAGTACTTTGAGAAGTCCGCTTTTTAAAAAGTCTCCTATAGATGTCTCTAAATTATTTCTGGCTTAATTTCAGAAACTACATCAAGCAGCTTGCTTGATTCAAGCTTATTGGAAAGGTTACCAAACTAGAAAGAGACTGAAGAAGCTTCCATCTGCTGTGATTGCTTTGCAGAGGAGTTTCAGGTAAAAAAAAAAAAAAAAAATTGGTTAATAGAAGGATGACCTGAGAACCCTACTGCAGTACAGTTAAATGGAAACTTAAAAGTTTTTTAATTCATTTTCAATTTTCTAATATGTTTCTCTTCTTGCTTTCATTCTTTTTCTATATGTTTCTGAGTATGAACCCCCCCAGTAACCAGATGTACTTACAAAACAAAGAGACATGATACAAGACAGGATGTGTGTTACCCACTTAAATTTTTTTGTGGGCCAGGCCTATAGAGGGAGCCACTGATGGTTATAAAACCTTCAAAACCAGTAATTGTCATAATTATTTTAAAAAATGAATATATAAAGGTTTAATGATGTTAATCTAATTTTATTGATTGAATTTGGCATGGATTGTGATGGGCCTTGAAATATGACAATTTATTATTTCTGTGTATTTCAAGTAGACTGATTGTGAAAGACTGAAGTCATGGCCTGCTCTCTGAAAGGACTAACCCATCCAGATTCTTAGAGGTGACAGAAAGAAGAAAGAAAAGGAATGACCTAGCTTCTGGGTCACTTATGATATAGAGCAGAGCCATTCAGAAGTGATTTTTCCTGCAGCCTCTCCTAAAGCCAAATTTTAGTTTACTGAAATGAAACTGACATAGGGGCCGGTGCTGTGGCAGTGGGTTAATGCCCTGGCCTGAGGCACCGGCATCCCATGTGGGCGCCAGTTCCAGTCCCGGCTGCTCCTCTTTTGATCCAGCTCTCTGCTATGACCTGGGAAAGCAGTAGAAGATGGCCCAAGTCCTTGGGCCCCTGCACCCACATGGGAGACCCGGAGGAAGCTCCTGGCTTCTGGCTTCAGATTGGCACATCTCCGGCCATTGCGGCCATCTGGAGAGTGAACCATCGGATGGAAGACCTCTCTCTCTCTCTCTCTCTCTCTCTCTCTCTCTCTGCCTCTCCTTCTCTCTTGTGTTACTCTTTCAAGAAAAATAAATAAATAAAAAAAAAGAAACTGACATAGCATAGATGTAAACTTTTAAGAAAAGTGAGACTTTTGCTTTTAATAACTGCAACTGCATTTCTCATTTAAACATAGTTCTGGAGCTCAAAATACTATATTATCACAGGATCAAAAACACTGAAGTCATTCTGTCTGTGTTCCTTAGACATCATATTCATTGATAAAAGTTTTGTGCAAAGAAAATGTAAAGTTGACTATGAATGTTATCAGTGGCCTAGTATATGCCAATGATGCCAAGAGATGGATTGGTATATATTTTTATATGGAGTTTAACAGTCTTAAGTTTGTATCCTGCTTCACCTTATTTGCTAAATGACCTTAGACAAGTTGCCTTACCTCTCCCAGCCTCAAATTTCCAATCTATAAATTGGGGATAATAGTTTACTTACCTTGTAAGATGGAAATAATATAAAATTTGATGTAATATAAAGTTTTTAGTGTATTATCTGGCACTTAGAAAATGGTAGGAAGTAAAATGTATATGGCACATTGTGTGCCCTTTAAACTTTACAAATATAGTTAGACAAACAGATGCATTAAATGAATTCTGTTCTTGAGAGACAAATGTTATTCATCCAGGATTGCCCAAAGTTTATTGCCTGTCCTACAATGTTTCTTTTAAAAAAAATTTAAAAAGTATTTCTGAGGTAAATAAATTTGAGAAATAACGTGTATTTTCAGAATTTTCAGTATATATTCCTTATTCAAAAGAATCCGAGATGCTCTTGGTATTGCCTTCTGTAGTGTCCTTTGGGTAGTTAATACATACAAATTCTGCTTGCTGTTATCCTCAATTGTCTATCCTCTTATATTTAAAGGTGTCCTTATACCATGGATTCAGATCAATACTTGCCAAATTTGCCTGTTTATATTCTCTTTCAACAAATTTTATTTAATTCCATTCTAAATTTATGAATTCTGTGCTCTGAAATACATCTGTAGAATCTAATTAATATAGCTCTCTTTTAACATGGAAGTTATGGGGTGGGCTTGTAGGCTAGTGCTTAAGATGCTGGTTGGGACATCTAGATTTTGTATCTGTATACCCAGCTCATGACTCCAACCTCCCTACTTGGCCTTTGAACCATGATGGCTCAAGTAGTTGAGTTCCTGCCAACTCATGTGGGAGACCTACATTGAGTTCCAGGCTACTGGTCTTGGGCCGCCCAGCCATTGTGGACATTTTGGGAGTGAACCAGCATTTGAGCTTTATCTCTGTCACTGTCTCTGCTTCTCAAATAAATTATAAGAAGGAAAATTCCTCTGCCTTTTTTATGTAATAAAACCAGAGCAGTTATAAATATTTCAATTTTAAAAGATAAGCCATAAAGCCAAAGAAGTCCTATATTATGTGTTTATTTCCTTTCCAATATTTTGATTTTGGGGTTCTATTTAATTTTTTAATTTCACATTTACTCCTGGCTTCAGCACCTTTCCTCTTCTGTTAGCTGCTGCAGTTTATGCAGCTCTCTCTTGCCTCTTTTGTAGGTGTGAAATCGGACACGACCTCCTAAAATTTATACAAAAATGTGGCCCCTTAAAGTTCCCCAGAAATGCTATCTGGAGTGCCATATGTGCTACCAGAATTTGGGGTGCCATACGATTTCACCATATGCTTACTAATAAATCCCCAATATTAATAAACCCGAGAGGGTTCTTGCCTAATATTTAGAGAAGAATTCTAAATACCAGCACAGATAAATGAGGCAGCATGGTACGTTTAGGCTTTTATTTAGTGCGAAAGGTATCTAGGAAAGTGAAAGTTTTAGTTCAGGTAGGGGAAAGGGCAAGGTCCGGAAACTAGGTAGCATCCATACAAAACCACACGCAGCAAGCACCTCGAGCTGCTGTCCACCGCTTACCCTCGGCAGCAACACAGAGGCCGAGAGAGCCTTTTGCAACACTCCCTGCCTTTTTATATATTTTCCACAGGGGAGTGGCTTGTGGCCAGGTGGGCACTCAGGTATGGTCAGGTAGAGCCTGATATCACACGGGGGCGTGGCGAAGGTATCAGGTAGGGCGTGAAGTCACACAAGGGTGTGGTGAAGGAGTGGTCTTCCAGCTCACAAATCTAATCAGTTTAGCCTGTATGCCTGCCTACTTCAGGTGGACTTTCTGCAAAGGTTATTTCAGTCTCTTTGTGATCAGATCGTGGTCTCAGAGTACTTAGCTCTTTATATGCGTTTTCAGATGAGGAACTGCCCACCACTCACTCTTTTGGGTCCAAATTGATCAGCATTTCTTAGACTCAGCAAGAGGCGTTCATTTACAGTCACACCCTTGCTCAAGCACTTTGATAGGAGTTTCATTTTCATTTAATCATCTCTTATTGTCAGAAACTTATTTTGTTCATTCTTTTCTTTTAGCAGGGTTTTTTTTTTTTAAGATTTAATTTATTTATTTGAAAGACGGTTACAAAGAGAAAGGGAGAGACAGAGAAATTTCATCTGCTGGTTCACTCCTTAAATGTCTGCTATGGGTGGAGCTGGGCCGGCAGAAGCCAGGAGCCAGGAGTTTCTCCCGGGTCTCCCATGTGGGTGCAGGGATCCAAGCACTTGGGCCATCTTTGGCTGCTTTCCCAGGTACATTAGCAGGGAGCTGGATCAGAAGTGGAGCAGCCAGAACTCCAACCAGAATCCCATATTGGTGTTGCAGGCAGCAGCTTTTCTTACTGTACCACAGCACTGGCCCTTAGCAGGGTTTTCTGAAATGGCTAACAGCTGCTCCATTGATTTTGGGGAAAGCTCATAATTTACCTACCCCATCACAGTGTTGATATTTAGGTGTTTTAATTACATGTGTTTGATTTTCCCTTGAAACTGATGGTTATCTTTTCTCTGTTTACCTGAGGCACAGAACTTAGCAACAGTCATTCAGATGAGAGTTTTTTGAGTTAATATCTTACCAGTCATTTCCTTTGTGGAAGTATGATAACATGCCAGATGATCAAACACTATTTTTTGCAAAGAAATCAGTTGAAGATAATCTTGGTTTTTGAGAGATTATAGAAATTCTTTACAAAATAATTGGAATGTTACTAAGTGGGGAAAATAAAATCCAAAATCACCTCAGCTCCTAATAAATGTTTTCAAACATGAAATTAAAGCATAGGCATCCAAGAAGCACACATGTGAACACTTTGTAGTTGTTATTTCAATCACTGAACCTCTCATTTACTGTGTTCCTAGTTTGCATTTTACTTCCACTTTCATGCTTCATAGACTTCATTTTTATCAAATTTCCTAGCTTGCATGTGCAAATTGTTTCCCAAATGCAGTTTTCTGACAGATCAAATGTTGCAGCAGTGCAGTTTTCATTATTACCATGTTTCTTATGCATGGTACCTATAAAATATTGATGATGCAACATTAGATGTTATTACCTACAATCAATTAGAAATTTGAAACAGGTGTGTTTTTTTAACTTTTATTTAATGAATATACATTTCCAAAGTACAGCTTATGGATTACAATGGCTCCCCCCCCATAACTTCCCTCCCACCTGCAACCCTCCCCTCTCCCACTCTCTCTCCCCTTCCATTCACATCAAGATTCATTTTCAATCATCTTTATTTACAGAAGAGCAGTTTAGCATATATTAAGTAAAGATTTCAACAGTTTGCACCCACACAGACACACAAAGTGTAAAATACTGTTTGAGTACTAGTTATAGCATTAAATCATGATGTACAGCACATTAAGGACAGAGATCCTACATGAGGAGTAAGTACACAGTGACTCCTGTTGTTGACTTAACAAATTGACACTCTTGTTTATGGCATCAGTAATCACCCTAGACTCTTGTCATGAGTTGCCAAGGCTATGGAGGCCTTTTGAGTTCATCAGCTCCAATCTTATTTAGGCAAGGTCATAGTCAAAGTGGAAGTTCTCTCCTCCCTTCAGAGAAAGGTACCTCCTTCTTTGATGGCCCGTTCTTTCCACTGGGATCTCACTCGCAGAGATCTTTCATTTAGGGTTTTGTTTTTTTGTTTTGTTTTGTTTTTGCCAGAGTGTCTTGGCTTTCCATGCCTGCAATACTCTCATGGGCTGATTACCCTCAAGGGCTGATTCTGAGGCCAGAGTGCTGTTTAGGACATCTGCCATTCAATGAGTCTGCTGTGTATCCTGCTTCCCATGTTGGATTGTTCTCTCCCTTTTTAATTCTATCAGCTAGTATTAGCAGACACTAGTCTTGTTTATGTGATCCCTTTGACTCTTAATCCTGTCATTATGATAAGTTGTGAACAGAAATTGATCATTTGGACTAGTGAGATGGCATTGGTACATGCCACCTTGATGGGATTGAATTGGAATCCCCTGCCACGTGAAACAGGCGTTTTTAAAAAGCAGTCTGAAAGGACATTCTGCTTAGGGCTTGCTCTCTTTTACCCTCTGTAAGTGGACAGAAGACAAAATATTTTTATGTACATGCTGTACAATCCAGAAGTGTGGTTTTTTTGATTGGGGCAGTGGTTCTATATGAGAGGCAAGTTTCTGTCGGCTGTTCTTTGCAAAGGGGCCATACCTACTTGATCTCCAACTTTCAGGAAAAGCAAAGGACCCTCTATTGAACTAGCCCTACATTTTCTCTGGATCCCTTTTTCATTTTATCACAAATGCACACTTGAGGTCTTTTCTACCTTTGATAACAGGGATAAAGAAATTTTGGAACAAAAACTCAGCTTTGGCCTAAGTGAAAAACCAGAGAACACTTAAGTTAAGAAATTGTAAGGAAAAAACCAATCACACATACACAATTTTATCAGAATAATTTTGTGAATTTTTTCTCTCTGCTTTAAAAAGCTTTTTAAATGTACAATTGTTACTGAAACAATTATACTTAATTGATTTTGCAATTTATACTTAATTGTTTCAACAGAAATTGAGTTGAAAATCGTAACCTTTTTTAACTACACCATTATGAATTCTGGCTGTTAAGACTACAGATGTACAGCCGAGATAGCACAGTTGTTGGCAGTTTAATTCTAGGAAAAGGATCTAAGGGAAAACATGCTCTTGAGAGACAGCATGCAAATTATGTGTATAGATGTAAAATAAATTGTGTGGAGCTGACACTGTGGCATAGGGGGTTAAACCTACCACCTGCAGTGCCCGTATCCCAGCTGGGTGCTGGTTCGAGTCTCGGCTGTTCCGCTTCCAGTCCAGCTCCCTGCTAAAGTACTGGGATAGCTACGGAATATGATACAAGTCCTTGGGCTCCTGCACCCACATAGGAGACCATGAAGAAGCTCCTGTCTTCAGACCAGCCCAGTTCTGGCTATTGCAGCCATTTAGGGAGTGAACCAGCAAAGGGAAGACCTGTCTCCCTGCCCCATAACTCTGTCTTTCAAATAAATGAATAAATCCTAAAAATAAAATGAAATCTATATGTGTCTCTCTTTTAATCATCCTTGTTTTCTTTTTATTAATGGGTATCCAAAGGCATTTTATATTATATTTCCTATAGATGGTTACTTGTGCTCTCTTCACATAGTGACATTGGAAACACCAAAAAACTAGATTGGTACGGTTCAGTAGAAACTTTAAAAACAAATAAACCATTAATGTTTGTTAAAATATAGCCACATGGAAATTTCTGTCACTAGATAATACAATAATGTTTATTAGTAACTAATTGAGAAACAGGTAACCATAAGAAAAAAATTAAAACCATAATCGTACCATACAGTGAGAATTTCCACTGACTTTTTAAAAAATGATATTTTTATTTATTTGAGAGGTAGCGTTATAGACAGTGAGATGGAGAGACAGAGAGAAAGGTCTTCCATCTGCTGGTTCACAATCCAAGTGACCCCATGGCTGGAGCTACGCCGATCCAAAGCCAGGAACCAGGAGCTTTTTCCAGGTCTTTCATGCTGGTGCAGGAGCCCAAGGACTTGGCCATCTTCTACTGTTTTCTCAGGCCATAGCAGAGAGCTGGATCAGAAGAAGAGCAGCCGGGACTAGAACCAATGCCCATAAGGGATGCTGGCACCACAGGCGGAAAATTAACCTACTGCACCACCGTGCCGGCCCCTCTACTGAAATTTTAATGTCTTTAATCTTTTACTTTTCTATATATATAAATATAATTTTTAAGGAAAATTTTGATCTCATTCTTCTATACCCTGATTTTATTTTCAACTGACATTTGACTGTGGATATATTCCTATGTCATTAAATATTCTTTGAAAACTTTGTTTTTATACTTTATAGAATCTCATCAGGTATGATTCAGTTCCCTACTGTAGGACATACAGTTTGTTTTCAAATTGTTACTGTTGTTAAACTGTGGAGAACATCCTTGAATATAAGTCCTTACATACACATTTGATGATAGCCTTAAGAAAATCATTAGAAATGGAATTAATGAAATGCCTCAGCTGGTGCTGTGGCATAGCAGGTAAAGCCACTACCTGTAATGCCAACATTCATATGGTGCCTCTTCTGGTCCTGGCTGCTCTGCTTCCTATCCAGCGCCCTGCTAATGGCCTCTGAAAGAGTGGAAGATGGCCCAAGTGCTTGGTCCCTTGCCACTCACATGGGAGTTCCAGAAGAAGCTCCTGGTTCCTGGCTTTGGCCTGGCCCAGCATTAGCAGTTGTGATCATCTGGGAAATAAACCAGTGGACTGAAGATCTCTTTCTCTCCTCCCTCTCTCTCTAACTCTTTCAAATAAATAAATAAATCTTTAAAAAGAAAAAAATGAATTAATTGGTCAACATTTAAAAAATGTTAAAAAGCATTTTGGTATTTTAAATATTTCTCAGTTTTTCATGCATATATTCAAATATTTCTCCAGAAAGTTTGTTTAGTAGCAGCATGTGACAGTTTGTTTCATAATACCCTGGTAACACTAGGAATTATCTTAAAATTCTTTTCACGTCTGCATTTATTTGATTACTATTGAGGTATTGTTTTTCATACATTTTTTGAATGGACACATGAATTATGAAGTTATATAAGATGCTTACTGTTTCCATCACAGATCTAAAAGAACAAAGAAATTGCTGAAACTAAATAGGGAGAAAGAAGAAGAGGCTATCAGATTACGACTGCAGCTTCAAAGACAGAGAGCCATGAGACTTTCCCGAGAATTATGGCTGAGTATGCTTGAAATAGTTCATCCAGGTAGGTGGCATTATCACTTTTATATGTGTAAAAATGCTTATAATGTCTTTAAGTAAGCCACATATTCTAGCTTTCTGATGATCTCTTTCTTTAAATTTGGATCATTGCCTTGTTTCTGTCTCCCCCTCTCCTTTTTTTAGATAAATCTTAATCTATTGAGTCAAAAAAAGTTTTTCTTATCTTTCAGATAAATTAGTGAAACATAAAAATTTATGCTTAAAGGTCACTGTTGGGGGCCAACACTGTGGCATAGCAGGTATAGTCGCCTCCTGCAGGGTTGTTTGTTTTTTTGTTTTTTTGGTTTTTTTTTTTTGACAGGCAGAGTAGACAGTGAGAGAGAGAGACAGAGAGAAAGGTCTTCCTTTGCCGTTGGTTCACCCTCCAGTGACTGCCACGGCCGGCGCACTGCGGCTGGCGCACCACGCTGATCCAATGGCAGGAGCCAGGTACTTATCCTGGTCTCCCATGGGGTGCAGGGCCCAAGCACCTGGGCCATCCTCCACTGCACTCCCGGGCCACAGCAGAGAGATGGCCTGGAAGAGGGGCAACCGGGACAGAATCCGGCGCCCCGACCTGGACTAGAACCCGCTGTGCCGGCGCCGCAAGGCGGAGGATTAGCCTAGTGAGCCGTGGTGCCGGCCTCCTGCAGTGTTGACATCCCATATGGGTACCAGTTCCTGTCCCAGCTGCTCCATTTCCAATCCAGCTTTCTGTTATGGTCTGGGAAGGCAGTAGAGGATAGCCCAAGTCCTTGGGCCCCTGCACCCGAGTGGGAGACTCAGAGGAAGCTCCTATCTCCTGGCTTTGCATTGGCTCAGCTCTGGCCATGCTGCCATTTGGAGAGTGAACCAGCAGATGGAAGATCTCTCTCTCTCTCTCTGCCTCTCTGTAACTCTGCTTTCTGCTTTTCAAATAAATAAATAAATTGTTAAAAAAAAAAAAAGTCACTGTCAAGAGACTTTAAAAACTCCTTGAACTTAACCAGGGAGTTAGCATTGTGCTATATTCTGCCATCAGAACTTTACTCATTCCTTATTACAAGCCTGATGACATATCTTACCACCTTTGACAGACTAAGCTGAAATTAATTACAAATGATGGTCTGGGAAGTCTCAGGTTTCAAGATTTTTTCCCTCATTTTTTTACTTCTCTTTTTATTATTCATTCACAGGATCTTTCTCTAGTCCCTTTTTTCCCTCTTTCTTTCCCTTACATATAGATATTTCCCACAGTTCCATTCTCACCTCACAATTCTGATTTGCTTTTTCTTGCTTATTTATTATATATTTACTGTAGACTAATACTTGTGGTCCTCTTACATAGCAAAGTAGGAAGCAACAAAAACTAGGTTGGAATGGCTAACAAGAAATTTTGGTGAGTAAAAAACAAATAATACAGAAATGAATGTTAAATGTTTGTAGCCACATGAAAATTTATATTACCAGTTGAGTATTTACTACTCTCAAATCTTGTCTGCACCTTCACCCTCTCTGCTATTCTCTGAAGCAACATTTCCCAATAAAACTTCTTATAAAGACAAAATGTTCTATACTGCCTCATCCAGTATGATAGCTCATGGCTCTGTAGGTGGCTACTGAGTATTTGAAATATGGCCAATGCACGCAGGGACCTGGATGTTTAATTTTATTTAAACCGAAGTAACCACTTGTAGCTAAAATCTCCTGTATTAGCACAGCTACCTATTGAGTAGCTTTACCTGGATATTCATAAGCATCCCCAAAACTAAAGTCATTATATTGCCCCCAAGATTTCCTTTTCATTCTCCATTTCAGGTAATACATGAAAAATCCAATGTACTCAGCTTTTCATCTGAAACAGTCTGGAGTTCTTACCCTTCCTCAGCTCCACATCTAATTGATCATTAAATACTAACAATTTTTTATACTTTCTAACATATACATACCTTGTTTTTAGAGACACTACTATTCTCTTCCACTGCCTAATTCTGTCATTTAGCTACTGCAAGTCCTAAGCTAAATGTTGAGTAACTCCCAGAAAAGCCATCAGTATAACTAATTGAAGAGAAATTTGAAGCACATAAAATAGAATAGTAAAGCATACACACATTTCTCTATGGTTGTACTAAATGACTTCCTAACCATATACTTATTTTTTTCCAAAATGTTCTTGCTGTTGAATTTTCAACCCTTTTCTTAGTCCCTTGCCACAAAAATAATCCATGCATCCTTTCTCCATAAGGAAGCTTATATCCAAGAAAGCTTTTGTTTCTAAAATCTTAGAATCATTGTAAAATAATAGAATTGGGAAAATTAGTAAACAATATTGAAAGCATTAAAGGATTACAAGATTGTTATCATTACCATTGTCCTGATTTAAAAACTTGAGAAGGCATAGTAGTGAATATGTTGTGATAGTGTCTGTCATCTTTTTAGGTGAGGTGGAGAAATACAATCGGGAAATGGAAGAGAAAGCAGCATTGATTATCCAGAAACACTGGAGAGGGTACAGGGAAAGGAAAAATTTTCGCCAACAGAGGCCATTTCTCACAGAGTATAAAGCAGCCATCACACTTCAAAGAGCAGTGAGTCTGATGTAGTAAAAACAGCTCTGGATTAGGAGGCAAAAGCATGGGTTCAAACCTGACTTTGGAATTTACTGCCTTGCTCAAGTGACTTAGCTTTCTAGAGCCTTAGATTTTTCCTTTATAGAGTAAGAAGCTCCTTACCTCTGGCCAAGCTGATTTAGACATGTGGTCTTTAGTACTGGGTAGAACCTTGTACATCATTTACCATGCTGCAGTGCTGTTGTTTTTCTTTCCTGGGCTACAAGTTCCTCAAGGATGAGAAACTAAGTCTTATTTATTGTTATCAGCTCTCAGCATGTGCTTGGTATATGAATTAATAGGTGTTTACCCTACCTTTTTCACTTAGATGTTATGTGGACCAGGTGACCTAATATATGGGAATATATTTTGTAAATTGCAAAGTCCTGTGCTAGTATAGCGTATCATATTTAATTTTTTTAAATATATAGGTTAAGTATTAGTATACTTAGATCAGTGTAACTATTGAATTGAGGAATATTGTTGTTAAGTGATAATTTTCCTGGGAATTACCCACAGCAGAGTAACATGGAGAAGCACAGCACAAGACTGGTTTTTTGTTTTTGTTTTTTTCATTTAATTACCTATTTCATTTAATTACCTATTTCTATTTAATTACCAATTCTCCTAATATCCATTTATTCTGTTATACATGGTTAAGCTTCATATTAAGATCTCAGGTCTTGAAGCAGTAAGTTTAATATTCCCTTATTGTTGAACAAAAGGTCAATTTCAGTTTTTCACAAAGATAGATTTTGAACATTCTCTGTAATTAACTTTTTATAAAGATATTTTAAAGTCATCCAAAATGCAGTAGAATAAACACTAGGGAGATAAAAATATCTTCCACCTTCTCCTCCTTTATGCCTCTTTGGATACCTGAGGTTGTATCTGCAACAAATAGCCCTGCACTGACTTACATGTAATCCCCTTTGCTAAACAAGGCCATCTAAGAATTAACCCAATGATGTCAAGAGGGACCCTTGGCTCCCTTCTAATTCTTTTACTTCATGGCTACCTCCTTTTGAGTCTCCCATCCCGAAGAATTAGCTTGACCCTTATTAAGTTGATGTACTAGCTTGCCTAATACTTTGTAAAGGGCCATTTAGTATATGGTGAGATCCCAGGTTTTCTCCCAGTCCTTAGAGAAGCAGTGGTTATCAGAGGAAAATAAATGAGGCCTATGAAGGCAGTGTTGTTCAGGCTTTCATACTTCTCAGTGGCACAAGAGGAAAGAGATGAGTTAAGTTTGCTTCATATTTTCCCAACCCCCATAAAGGAATATAAGTCTTTGTTGAAGTAAGAACAAAACGGGATGAGTCAAGGTCATGTTTATAGTCTTTGCATCTCACTACTTAAAATGACAGTGAAGCCAAAGCAAAGCTAGCCAAAATGGAAAAGGGAATGAGCATCACTTTCAAAAAGAGAAAGAAAAATGGAAAAGTGTAGAGGGAAAAAAAAGAAAAGTAGTAGGGAAATTAGAGCAGAGAAATATCAGTAAAGGGCACATTATGCAATATTTTGAAAACATTCTTCTTTAAGATGCACTGTAGATGTACAAAGGCCCTTAAGCACATGTGGCTATGGAGTACTTGATATATAGTTATATATGTAACTTTATAGGTGCTATAATTGTTAAATACCCACCAGATTTTAAAAATTGGTATAAAAAAGGAAAAACTATCTTAACACTTTTACATGTTAACTATCTTAACTTTTTTACATGTTGAAATTCTAGCAACTTATGTATATTGTTATGATATTTTACATAATTCACTATATACAAAAATTAGTTCGCTCATTTTTTTACTTTTTTATATAGCTACTAGAAAATTTTAAATTATATTTGTAACTTTCATTATATTTCCATTTGCACTGAAATTGAACTGGGTAAGAAAGAAAAGGAAATACTTCATCAACTTCATTGAAAATTACAGAAGAGGGATATCCTTTTCATGAACTTGTCCATCAGGAGGAACCGGTTGTTAGTGTCTTTGACAGAGCAAGAAATAAAAGCCAGACTTTACCTACCTTTTGCCCTACTCTTACTTTGTGTGAAAGCAGCAGCATTGTTTCTCCAGTAACTAAAATTTGGGAAATTGAGAAAATGTTATTATATAACATTACTTGCCTTTTCTAAATTATCTATCCTTTCAGTGTTGAAATTAAATTTAAAGAATGGCTGCATTTCCCTTTTTAATGTTCTACTATTTGCTTATCTTACTGTCTCATCTCTTAAAATCAAAGGAAGAAGCCAGAATGATGGCTAATTCTTCATACTAGATTATAGCATAAAAGTACCATAACACTATTTGTGTCCATCCATGACTAACCACAAGAAAACTTACTGGAACAAACCATTGGCAGTAAGAAAATAAATACAAATCAGGAGATAAATGAAATTTCAGAGTCCTACAATGACAAAGTATGATGAAAAGTGATAAGAGAGAGGGCACAGAGGCTTTTTTGATTTAGGAGCAGAGAGAAGTTCCCAGGAAAGCATCATAATTTTGAGGTGGTACCAAAAAACAGGGGGTATAAGACAGATAAGGAGAAACAGAAAAGAAAAATCAAGGAAAAGGAAGAATAGAAGGAAAGGAGAGGGACAGGTATTTGGCCTAGCAGTTAAGACACTCATATCATATTGGAGACCTAAACATGAGTTTAGGTCTTGACTCTGCTTCAGATTCCAGCTTCCTGCTCATGTGCATTTTGGGAGGCAGTAGTGATGACTCAGGAAGCCACATGGGAAATCTGCAGAGTTCCTGGCTTGGCTTCAGCACCTGGCAGGAGCTGTTACAAGCTTTCAGAGAGTGAGCCAGTACATGGGAGCTTGTTTGCATGCTCTTCCTCCCAGTCCATCTCCCCATCTCTCTCAAATGAATAAAAATTTAAAAACAAAATACTACTCTATACAAATGGTCCCTGACTTAAAATTTATGTGAAAGCAATATCCATTCAGTAAAAACTATATCATGTTATTAGGTAAGTTAGGTGTATTAAAAGCATTTTTGACTTAGAATATTTTCAACAATGTATTTATTGGGATGTAACCCTATGGTAAGTTGAGGAACAGCTGTATATTTAAAAACATCACTATCTTCCCTCCTCTATCACATTCCCATCTTCCTCCTCATACACTCAGAGATAAGAACTCTTGCAATGGTGTCACTATCATGTTTTAGGAAGAAAAAATGTTTTATTAGTGGAGAAAAACCACAAATATTCTTTTTTGCCTCCCAGGCTCTTAAATTCCTCGCAAAGTGCCGTAAGAAAAAGAAGTTAGTTTCTCCTTGGCAAGGACTCCAAGAACTCACCGATGCACGCAGAGTTGAGCTGAAGCAACGAGTGGATGACTATGTCAGAAGACATCCAGTATGTAGGCGTCTGTATCATAGTATCCATATTTTACCCTATTCCATTGCACAGTGTTTGCTGACAGTATGCTTATGGTTAGTATAAGATAAGTTAAGATAGACTTATGGATCTAGAGTCATTTTATGGATACATGGCCTTATGGTACAGTGTAAAGGGGGCTTTGCTTCAAATAATTATTTCCCATACTAAATCACCACTTCTTTTGTAATAGTACAGCAAAATTTTAGCTAGTTTGAGCCGTCCAGAAAAAAAGTATATGTGGCTGTAGGTCAAAGATATTCATTCTTACATATGTACACTTAAACATCCATATTCACACATGTGAAAAGATTTAAAACAAACACTTCACTCAAAGGAGATAAACAGGTGATAAATAAACACAAGAAAAGGTACATCTTAGTCATTAGAGAAAATGCAAATTAAAACCACAATAGGCAGTCAGTCTGTTTCTCTGTTTCTCTGTCTCTGCATTTTAAATGAATAAAAATAATTTTTAAAAAAATCGAGATAGACATTTGATAGAATAGTTAAGGTGCCACTTGAGATGCCTGTATCCCATATTGGAGTGCCTGGATTCTAGTCCTAGCTTTGCTTCCCATTCTAACTTCCTGCTAATGTGAGCCCTGAGAAGAGGTAGCAGGTGATGGCTTAAGTGTTTGGGTACCTACTACTCCTGGATGGAGTTGTGGATTTCTGACTTCAGCCTTGTACAAGAGAGCAAACCAGCAGATAGAATCAATGTCTTTCTATCTCTGTCTCCCTGCCTATCCATCTGTCTATCATCTATTTTTCTATCTCTTTGTCTTACTGTCTTTCAAATAATAAAATTTAAAAAACAAAACAGGGGCCGGTGCTATGGCATGGAGGGTTAAGCCTCCGCCTGCAGTGCCAGCATCCCATATGGGCGTTGGTTTGAGTCCCAGCTGCTCCACTTCTGATCCAGCTCCTTGCTATGTCCTGGGAAAGCAGTAGAAGATGGCCCAAGTGTTTGGACTCCTGCACCAATGTGAGAGACCCGGAGGAAACTTCTGTCTCCTGGCTTTGGATTGGCCCAGCTCTGGTTGTTGTGGCCATTTGGGGAGTGAATCAACAATTGGAAGACCTCTGTCTCTGTCTTTCCCTCTCTAACTCTGCCTCTCAAATAAATAAACTTAAAAATATATACATAAGATACTCTACACTTGTTAGAATGACTAAAATTTTGAAGGTTGCATATACCAAACGTTAGCAAGCATGCAAAGGAACTCTGACTGAAACACTATTCGGCTAATCCTCCACCTAGCGGCGCCGGCACACCGGGTTCTGGTCCTGGTCGGGGTGCCGGATTCTTTCCCAGTTGCCCCTCTTCCAGGCCAGCTCTCTGCTATGGCCCGGGAAGGCAGTGGAGGATGGCCCAAGTCCTTGGGCCCTGCACCCCATGGGAGACCAGGAGAAGCACCTGGCTCCTGGCTTTGGATCAGCGCGGTGCGCTGGCCACAGCACACCAGCCGTGGTGGCCGTTGGAGGGTGAACCAACAGCAAAGGAAGACCTTTCTGTCTCTCTCTCTCTCACTATCCACTCTGCCTGTCAAAAAAAAAACAAAGAATATATATGCCACTATTCATAGAAATGTAGAGTAGTACAACCACTTTGGAAAGTGGTCTGACAGTTTCTTAGGAAGTTAAATATATGGGCCGGCACCGTGGTGCAGTAGGTTAATTATCTGCCTGTGGTGCCGGCATTCCATATGGACGCTGGTTCTAGTCCCAGCTGCTCCAGCCCAGCTCTCTGCTGTGGCCTGAGATAGTAATAGAAGATGGCCCAAGTGCTTGGGCCCCTGCACTCGCATGAGAGACCAGGAAGAAGCACCTGGCTCCTGGCTTGGGATCACTGCAGCTCTAGCCGTTGCAGCCATTTGGGGAGTGAACCAATGGAAGGAAGCCTTCCCTCTCTCTCTCCCTCCCCCTCCCCCTCCCCCTCCCTTCCTCTCCCCCTCTCCCCCTCTCCCCCTCTCCCACTCTCCCACTATCTGTAACTCTACCTGTCAAATAAATAAAATCTTTTAAAAAATTAAATATATGAGGGGTCTTTAAAAAGTTATATGTTTATTTAAAACGAATTGGAAATTGCTTGGGGGTATGGGAGAATGGGATGGATGAGAATAAGGGATTTAAAAAGGGGAGCAAGGAAGTTTGGTGGCAGTGAATGTTCATTATCCTAATTGTGATGATGGTTTCACAGGCGTATACATGTCAAAGCTTAGCAAAGTTTACTCTTTGTTGTTATTTTTAACTCAAACCTATATATTAAAAAACATGTTTAACCTAAGTGCTTAAAGAGGGGGGAGCAGAACTTCTAAGCTTTTAAAACAATCAGCCTAGCCACTATTAAAACATGACCAGTGGATCTCTAGGTTGTGGTCCATTATATTAACAACTTCTTTCTTATCTCGGAACCAGAACTGAATTGGAGAAAGGGATAGAAGTACAACTGAGAATTCTCTGTAAAGAGAGATTAAATCTATATATTTAATATATATCTGTGTATCTATATATATTATATATAATATATATTTAATATATATCTTTTCTCTCTATATATAAGTGTATATAAGAGAGAGAGAAAACAGAGATAGAATATATATATATGGGGGGGAGGGAGGGAGGATACTTCCTCTCCAACAAATACATCATCATTTCCTAAACTCTGTTGAGAGGCACTGTATTACTTTTAGCAGTTTTAATAATTTATTTTCCTTTATAAAAATTAGATACCCAGGACCAGTGTTGTGGTATAGCTGGTAAAGGTGCCGCCTGCTACACTGGCATCTCATATAGGCACTGGTTCAAGGGCCAGCTGCTTCACTACTGATCCAGCTCCCTGCTAATGTGCCTCGCAAAGCAGTGGAGGATGGCCCAAGTGCTTGGGCCTCTGCCATCCACATGGAAGACCTACATGGGAGACTTGGAAGAAGCTCCTAGCTCCTGGCTTTGGCCTGGTCCAGCCCCAGCTGTTGCAGCCATTTGGGAAGTGAGCCAGTGGGTAGAAGATCGATCTCTCATCTCTTCTCTGTCTGTCTGTCTCTCTCTCTGCCACTTTCTGCAGCTGTGACTTTTGAAGAAATAGATATCTTTTTAAAAAATGTAAAATATTAAAACCTCAAAAATACCCATTTAAGCATGTTTAAGTGTACAGTTCAGTGGCATTAAATATAGCACATTGTTATGCAGCTATCACCATTTTCCATCTTAAGAACTTTCTAAACCTTGTGAATATGAAATTCTGTATCTGTTAAAACACTAGCTTCCCACTCTCTCTCCACCCAGCTTCTTTCTGGCAGCTACTATTCTGTTTTCTGTCTCTATGAATTTGACTACTTAATTAATTACCTTAAATGACTAGAATCATAAAATATTTATACTTCTGTGCATGGTTTGTTTTATTTAGTGTATCTACAGTTCTCTTTCATGTAGTATGTAGCATGTTGCATGTGTCAGAATTTCCTTCTTGTTAAAAGATGATTAAAACTTCATGGTATTTATTTATCTCATTTTGTTTTTCTATTCATTGATGGACACTTGTGTTGCTTGTACATTCTGACTATAGTAAATAATGCTACAGTGAACATGGGTATACAAATATCTGTTTGTGTTCCTGCTTTCAGTTCTTTTGGGTATGTACTCAGAAATGATACAACTAGATCATAGGGCAATTCTTTTTTCAGTTTTTTTTTTTTTTTTTCGAACTGCCATACTGTTTTCCATAGAGGCCCACAAGATTTCTGGTTTCTCTGCATTCTCATCAGTATTTGTTTTTTCTGGTTTTTCTTCATTTTTTGGTAGTTAATTGGTGTGAAGTTGTATCTCATTGTAGTTTGGATTTGTATTTCCCTAGAGATTACTGATTTTGAGCATATTTTCATGTGTTTATTGGCCATTTTTTAATCTTCTTTGCAGAATTGCCTATTCAAGTCTTTGCCAATTTTTGAATTGTTTTTATTGTTGAGTTTTAGTTCTTTACATATTCTGAATATTAATTCCTTGCAAATATATGTTTTGTGAATACTTTTTTGCTATTCTAAAGGCTGCCTTTTTACTTTGTTGATAGAGTCCTTTAATATGTGAAAATTTTTAATTTGGAAAAATTTCATCTTTTTTTTCTTTTGTTGCCTGTGCCTTTATTATTATATCTAAGAAATCATTCCCCAAACTACTGTCCTAATTCATCCCCTATGTTTTCTTCTTCTTTTTTTTAAAGATTTATTTACTTATTTATTTGAAAGGCAGAGCTACAGAGAGGCAGAGAGAGAGACAGAGAGAAACAGAGAGAGAGAAGTCTTCTATCTCCTGGTTCACTCCCCAGATGATGGGTGCAGCAGCTGGAGCTGTGGGATCCGAAACTAGGAGCCAGGAGTTTCTTCTGGTGCTTCCATGTGTGGTGCAGGGGCCCAAGGACTTGGGGGCCATCTTCCACTGCTTTCCCAGGCCATAGCAGATAGCTGGATCAGAAGTAGAGCAGCCGGGACTCGAACTGGAGCACATATGGGATGCTGGCACTGCAGGTGGTGGCTTTACCAGCTACACCACAGCACCAGCCCCTGTTTTCTTCTTAAAGTTTGATAGTTTTAGCTCTTATGTTTAGAGCTTTGTTTCTCTTTTTATATACATGCCCTATATGTACAGTTACCTATCAGTATCCATGTGGTTGGTTCCAGGAACTCCCATAGATTGGAACTGTGAATGCTCAAGTCCGTCATGTATTATGGCATAGAATTTTTTTTTTCTTTTTTTTTTTTTTTTGACAGGCAGAGTGGACAGTGAGAGAGAGACAGAGAGAAAGGTCTTCCTTTGCCGTTGGTTCACCCCACAGTGGCCACTGCGGCCAGCACACCGCGCTGATCTGAAGCCAGGAGCCAGGTGCTTCTCCTGGTCTCCCATGTGGGTGCAGGGCCCAAAGACTTGGGCCATCCTCCACTGCACTCCCAGGCCATAGCAGAGAGCTGGCCTGGAAGAGGGGCAACCGGGACAGGATCCGGCGCCCCGACCAGGACTAGAACCCGGTGTGCCGGCGCCACAAGGTGGAGGATTAGCCTAGTGAGCCGTGGCGCCGGCATGGCATAGAATTTGTACATAACCTACATATCCTTATGTATGCTTTAAATCATCTCTAGATTGCTTATAATATCTTATGCAATGAAAATTCTATGCAAATATTTGTTACACTATATTTTTAAAAAAGATTTATTTTATATATTTGAGTGGCAGAGTTACAGAGAGAGAGAGGAGAGAGATCTTTCATCCACTGGTTCACTCCCAAATGGCTGCAACAGCTAGGGGTAGGCCAGGCCAAAGCCAGGATCTTCATCTAGGTCTCCCACATGGGTGCAGGGGCCCAGAAACCTGGGCCATCTTCCTCTGCTTTTCCAGGTGCATTAGCAGGTAGCTGGATCAGAAGTAAAGCAGCTGGGACTTGAACCAATGTCAGTACATGATGCCAATGTTGCAGGCAGCAGTTTAACTCATTCTGCCACAATCCTGGGCACTTTTCTAATATTGTTGATCAGCACTTGGAACCCACAGATATGGGGGGCCAACTGCAATTGTGATGCATAGTCTTGGGCTTTTTTTTGTTTTGTTTTGCTTTTTGAAGTTCTGCTTTAGTTAGTTTTTAAGATTCTCTGGCTGAAAAGTAGGATATTAACTAGAACAGGGTTACATCCAAAATCCAAGAACTAGAATATTTGGGAAAGCTGTGATGTCAGAAGCTTTGTCTGCAACAAAGTTTGTATTGTTTCATCCTTGTCGTACTAATCAGTTAATTAAGTAACTGCCAGAGGAATATAGCTCTTCAGCTGATTTTGCTTATTATTCTTTGAAACTAGAAACTGTTAAAATATTGTATCTTAGTTAAGGTTGGGAGAGAGGATGGGATAGGAAATAGGATAGTCTTTTAGATGGAGTCCAGAAGAAAGAGAGCGGTCTTGTTACTCCTTTTCCAGGCAAATGTATTTAGCAAACCATTTGTGATTCTCCCTATGATATCTTGTTTTTATCTCTTTTCCTATAATACCACACTGTCTGAGGAAACGAGGTATAGGAACATAGCAAAAAAGAAATTTCTCCACCTGTGCTTTTTTTTTTTCTTAAAACTGTTTAAGAGACTTTAATATCTATACAGGAGTACAAGGTGAACATCTATCATATGATTCAATTGATAAAATGAGAGTTAAGCATACTACAACCTCTGCTGAATGGCTAAGCAGAATGTACTTTGATATATATGTCCTTCTTGTGACAAGTTTTGCTGTCCTGTGTTCCCAGGTCTCTCAAATGTCAGATGTGGCCAGCAGGGAGCTCCATGCTGAAGCTCAAGAACAACTACAGCACTACTTTATGGGCAGGGCCCTAGAAGAGAAAGGCCAACAGCACAGAGAGGCTCTGATGGCTCAGATCAGCACCAATATTGAACAGTTGATGAGTACGTGCTCCTTCCATTTTTGTATCCTAAAAGGAACAACTGCAAGATGTGTGACATCCAAAATCCTCTGAAGCAAAGCACCTTAAATGGTTTATTCATCTCCATCATACCAGCACACAATATTTTCAAATCATGTGGATTCTATAACCTCCATCTTGTGTGCTTCCCCAAGCCTTGCTGTCATTCATATGTATCAGCTCAGAAAGATTTGTTAATTTCAAAGATAGTGAGCTCTACTGGCCAGATTTCTACTGTGTAGTCCCAAAAGCTTTGGACCATATTTTAGAAGACGATTACAACAGTTGTTAAAGTGTCATTCACTTGTAGAGCATTTCATAATTTTTAATGAAGTACTTCCACAAAAGTTCCTGTTCTTTTAATACCAAAAAGCTACATCTTTCTTCATCCTTTTCTTTTAAATCCAGAAGTGGAGATGTTGCTACCAGCCACAGATACAACTTTTAATAGCCATATACCATCCACAGTTGGCAATAATAACAGATTCAAGGTTGAAATTCTCTGTCTGCTGGAGTGGAGTTCCAACTGTGTAGTTTCCAAGTTCCTACTTGTTGGCACAGGGCTCTTCCACTCACCTGTATATTTTCTGTTTATTACAGAGGCGCCAACTCTGAATGAAGCAGAAGGGAAAGAACCCGAGCTCTTCTCAAGCAGATCCCGACCTGTGGCAGCCAAGGCCAAGCAGGCCCATCTCGCCACCCTAAAGCACATACAAGCACCCTGGTGGAAGAAACTTGGAGAGGAACCAGGAGATGAAATTGATATTCAAAAGGATGAGATTAGTGTCGAGTTAGGAACTTTGTTCATTGGTGGGACCAAACCCCCTTAGGAGTTACCTTGAAAACTGACCCATATCTTTTGTTTCAATTACATTGGTTCTCTGGTGTGTTCATAGACCAGGGTTCCTCTCCAAACAAGACTTACACGCAGTAAGCAAAGAGTTATTTTCTACCTCTCTCTTTCAGTTCTCTTTTTCTTTTCTCTACACCCTTGTCCCTGGCCATACACACAGATTTGTGTGGCTTTTGTTGTGGAAAAAAAAACTCAGCATGGCATTCTGTTGTTTACAATATTGTGAGATTTTTTTTTTCCCATTTTTTGAAGTTTTCCAACTAAAGTTTTTTCTAAGTAAATATTGTCAATAGTTGTTCCAAAACACTTGTCAGGATTATTTCAACTTTTTACATTTGTTATTTAGAGTTCTTTCCTTTTATTAATAAAAGAGGGTGTGTTCTTGGCCTTTATTAAAGTGAGGGAAAAAAGTGATTAGTTGAAGGACATTTCCCTATTTTCTATACAACAATGGTTGACTCATTTTCAGAATTTTTATTTTAAACAGAAATACACACACACACAAAAATCCATCTAGGACTCAATGTAAGAACTTCTCCAGCTAAAATTGTGTTCTTTGTAGTGAATTGTGAGAACTATATAACCCACGGCCTCTCGTTAGCTTTTCTCCTGGGAATCACAGCTAAATATAATGTTTAATTTTTGTTGTGATCCTATATACCTATGTGATTATTTGGTTCTAACATAATAATTCATAATTTCTGATTGCCCTGTTCACCTTAATTGTGTTTTGTACCAGAAGTCACCTCAATTTGTGTTTGTGACAGTACAGAATTCAAGTTAAAATGAGCTAACAAATTATAACATCCCATCATAAGGAACCTGGAGGATGTTCTTTGTATAAATGAGTGGAAATACCAGTATTTCTGAATGGACAGGCCAAATTTAATTCATAATTAGAAAAAAAATGTATAAAATCCACCCATAAGAATAAGCAGTTGAGAGTTCTACTTTCACATAGAATATAGAAAACTCACAAGAAGGTTACTCCCACCTTAACAACAACAAAAATGCCAGACAACCTACACAGTTTTTTTTTTTTTTTAACCTATCAGATAGGTGAGGCTTCAAGCCAGTCAAGTAAACTGAGACACAGACTCTGTTTGTGAAATAAGGTATTTCATTTCACAATTCAAGATTAAACATCTGGGTGGTCGTGAACATGGTACCCTTACCCTGTGGGATCAGGAAACCGCATTCTCCTGGCACATCAATATGCTCACCAATCAGGAAGCCCAACTGCAATGGTGTTCAGAGTTTTCGTTGGGATTTCATTACGTAGGTATGACTGAGTCATTGGTCATTTAGTAGAGTGTAGGAGAAAAAGGCAGCCAGGTGAGAAGAAATCACTTATTTTAAATTCTTAAAAGCCAAATGTGGGCTAGCATGTTTACTTAGGCTAGCTGGGAGCTTCAGAAAGGGAATTTGGACCTCTACCAAATTACAAGAAAGGTTGCAGCAAGGTCTAAAGAGACCCAATTAGTGGCACAAAACTAGGTGATAGACTGCCACTGGGTGATGTACCCAGTGCCCCACCCGCTTCTCCAAACTCTTCTCTTAAAACCCTTAAGCTGCATGAGCAAGAAAAGCAAGCTTTCCTACCTCCAAGGCTCAGGCCTTGGATTCCACTGCATATAAGGAAAGAATGGAGGAGGGAGGGGAGATAGGAAACACTAAGCTGTGGACATAATCAGAGATCCTGTGAGCCTGCTGGAAGGGTAGAAACCAAAACCCTTCAACCTGAAAGAGGGATAAGAAATCATCTTTGACAAAAATCTTATGCCAGTACAGTTAGCAGAGGTCTGCTAATGCTGTGGAGGAAACTTCTGTCTGGACTAATGACAGAAGCAAGGCAGTCTGGTTGCCATGAAATAAGTAGCATCCTTGAGAAAGCCCAACACCCAATCACAAGCAGAAAGCTGGCTTAAATCTAGGCTGGATCAGAACACCACCTCCACCTTGACCCAACAACTAACCTAGCACCAACAAGTAGTAAGCAATTGCCATTTACTGCTAAAATAGATAAAGTGCATGGGAAGGGCTTGTCTGGGGCAAAGGCATACAGGAATGGCTGAAAGTGGGGGATGGGGGACTGCCGCCTGCACGGCCAGCACCCCGTATGTGCGCCAGTTCAAGTCCCAGTTGCTTTTTTTGCAATCCAGCTCCCTGATAATGCACCTGGCAAAGCAGTGGAACTTGGCCCAAGCACTTGGGCCACTGCACCCACATGGGAGATCCAGAAGAAGCTCCTAGCTACTGGCTTCAGTCTGGCCCAGCCCCAGCCATTGTGGCCATTTGGGGAGTGAATGGAAGATCTCTGTCTCTTCCTTCCTCTCTGTGTAACTCTGCATTTCAAATAAATAAATCTTATAAAAAGTGGAGGATGGGGCAAGAACAGAAAACCTCAGCTTCCTACACCTCACCCTAAGCTCAAGGGAACAGACGCTTAAAAATAAAGGGATTTGTATTCTGTGGTACACTGAAGAACAAATAATCAGACCCACTTAACTGACTAGTTTGCCTCAACCCCTCTGCAATACCACAATGCAGTTCTGTTGCTATGTAAGGTTAATTGCAGACTACAAATTTAGAGCAGAGTATCCAACAAAAATCGACTCACTTCAGATGCTATCCACAAGATCAGGGATCTTGCACTCTGGCATCAAACTCAGGGTACCCACAACTTCATCAGGCTAGATGTTTCACTGTAACAACTCCTAGAACTCAGGGAAGCACTATATGGTAACAGTTTTCATATGAAGTATATACAATCAGAGTCAGCCAAAGAACACGCAGGGCAAGTTCTGGGATGGTCTTGAACATGGAGTTCTGTGCTCTTACCCTGTGGAATTGGGAAACATCACTTTCTTGGCACTTTAAAGTTATCAACCAAGAAGCCCAACTGAGCACTGCTACCCAGAGTTCTCACTGGGATTTCATTATATAGGTATGATTGAGTCATTGGCCATATTACTGAATTAAAATCTTCAACACCACTCACCTCCCTGCAGGTCAGGCATATATGTATTTCAGAGTCAGTCTTCTGATTGGTCTCGCTGGCATAACTCAGCCCCAATCCTGAGTCATGTTAGCATCAATTCAAGTATGATCTAAGGCTTCAACAAAAACTCTTGTCAGGAAATTCCAAGGGTCTAGAAACTATTCTAGGAAATTGCAACAAAAATCTTAAGTACTTACAATTTCTCCATAGAAGCTATGATATAAAAAGACATGTACCAAGTAGTGTGTGTATCAATCTTTTCTTGCTCTCCTATACATGATATCTGACATTTGGTCAAAAATTGAGACAGAATGCTAGGGGTAAAAGCCTGTTAAGAAATAAGCATCAGGGGCTGGCACTGTGGCGCAGGGTTAAGCTGCTGCCTGCAGTGCCAGCATCCCATAAGTGTACCAAGAGCCTGGGAACTCCATGTAGTTCTCCCATGTAGATGCAGGAGCCCAGGCATGTGGATCATCGTCCACTGAATTCCCAGGAGGATTAGCAGGGTGCTGGGTCTGAAGTGGAGTAGCTGGGACATGACCTGGCACTCACATGGTATAGTGGCATTGCAGGTGGCTGCTTAACTGCTGTGCCACACTGCTGGTCCCTCTTTTCCTCTTTTGAAGCAATGTAAACAAGATGTATTAGGTGTGTTTAATTTTTTTTTGTATTTTCTGTTATAGGGGTACTTTAAAAAATTCATGGATGGGGCGGGTATTTGGCATCTTTGTCAAAATGTTGCTTGGGATGTCTGTCCCATGTAAGAGTGCCTAGGTTTGAGCCCCAGCCCCACTCCTGATTCCAGCTTCCTGCTAATGCATAATCTGAGAGGCAGCAAGTGAAGGCTCAAGTAGTTGAGTTCCTGCCACTCACATGGAATACCTAGATTGAGTCCAGGCTCTTGGCTTTGGCCTGGCCCAGTCCTAGATGTTGCATGCATTTGGAGAGTGAACCAATGAATGGAAGACTTTCTTTCCTTCCCTCCCTTTCTTCCTTTCTTTCCTTTTCCTTTTTTTTTTCTTCCTTTCTCTTTTCTCTCTTTCTCTTCTCCTTCCTTTCTCTCTCTCCTCCCTTTCAAACAAATAAATTTTCAGTTAAGAAAAATGCATATCAGCCGGCGCCGCGGCTCACTAGGCTAATCCTCCACCTAGCGGCGCCGGCACACCGGGTTCTAGTCCCGGTCGGGGTGCCGGATTCTGTCCTGGTTGCCCCTCTTCCAGGCCGGCTCTCTGCTGTGGCCAGGGAGTGCAGTGGAGGATGGCCCAAGTGCTTGGGCCCTGCACCCGCATGGGAGACCAGGATAAGCACCTGGCTCCTGCCTTCAGATCAGTGCAGTGCGCCGTCCATGGCGGCCATTGGAGGGTGAACCAACGGCAAAGGAAGACCTTTCTCTCTGTCTCTCTCTCTCTCACTATCCACTCTGCCTGTCAAAAAAAAAAATGCATATCATGAAAAACTGCACATGGATTTCAAAAATTTTGGCACCAAAATAAATGTATCTTTTAATGTTTCAATGAACTCTTTGAAGCACTCTCATATATAAATTGTGTGAAAACAACTGGCCAAAAAATGTGGAAGAAGGAAATGTAAGGTTTTGTTAAGGTTTTTAAACTATAAGTGAAGAATAATAATAGGTAGGCTATGATGAACTGTGCACATGCATTGCAACCTGAAAGCAACCACTAAAACAATATTTTTGAAAGATACAACATTGCTGATAAAATAGAATCATAAAGCAACTAGCAAAATGATAGATTTAAATCCAATACAGTGTATCAATAATACATTGAATGTAAATTATCTATATTTTGACTGAGAACTTTTACCCAGTAGATAGATGGGATATGAGAAATGTTATATTTTCTAATTCTGTTTTGGCTAATTATGCTTGCAAATGGACCTGTTTTCTCATTAGCTCATCATTTTTTGTAGTTGTCATTCTCACATAGTAAGGTATTTTTTCCTGAAAGTCTAATTTCTATTTGTTAAAGTTCATTTGATAAATTCTTACTCTGCCAAGTTTCTGCAGGTAATAAGTTTACAAATAGTTTCACCACATAATAATATGAGTTGTCTTGAAAATATTTTCAGTCTATGTCTGCTGCCTGATCACAAAGCTGCTGCCACATACTGGAGGAGGTTTTTTTTTTTTTTTTTTTTTTTTTTTTTTTTCTGGAAGCACCCCAGATCTATTTAAGTATCAACTAGTTATTGCTGTCTTGCAAACCATCCTAATAACCATTCCATCCAAGCTAGAGTAACAGAGACCATATTGCTCTTTCACCTAAACACACAAACAAAAATATGTGAGAAACAGATTTGAAGACACTGAATATCAAAAAATGAAGGGATGTCTCCATAGGAAATAAGTGATGAATCCATTGATTGCCACAGCTTAAAATGCCATGAGAAA